AGGTTGACGTCAGACTCTTAACATTATTAGCATATATTTGCTGTGGTTTGGTAAATGGAATCGGCTCACTTGGAAAATATTACATGCAATAATGATTTAAACTGCACCATTAGCACATGTCAGATGTAGATTGAAAAAAGAAGAAGAAGGAAAAAAGATTGTGTAAATCCCACTTTACCATACAGTGACATTTCCTTAAACAAATAATGAAGAAAGGAAGGGGAGCAAAGGAGATGTGTTAAACTAACACATTTTCCATGCGTCGCCACTGAGAAACTGTTCATTTGCTGGTTTCTCTTCTCCTTCATATCTTTCCCATGCAATGAGTTCAGAAATCCCTTTTATACACTGCACATTTTTAGACTCAAATCAAAATGTTTATTCGGCTTTACGCCCATCATAAAGCACAACACACAAAACAAATCAAATAAAACAGCGGTCTCGTACAAGCCACAAGTAATATAACACAATTCACAGCTCACAAGGACAAATATTGGCAAATCAAAACAGAAATTTAAGATTAAAGTTAAAAATTTAGGCACTACGCTAAAATCAATATCTGATGTCAATATCAAAAATTCTTATAACTATCAATAATCAGCTAACATTCCATTCCGTCTCTTGTACGAGAGAACGGCTGTTAGGAATTTAGCAACCTGTAGAGTAATATAAGGATCTGCATCTTGAAGAACCCAGGCAAGCTGTAGGTCTACTGGTTTGTCAGCCATAGGCTGGATTATGGAGTTTAGTATACTAGCGCGAGCTGAACTGTACATAGGGCAGATAAACATAACATGATGTAAAGATTCAGATGTTTTCATTTCACAAGCACACATTGAAGGGACTTGGCCCTTAGTGAATCTATGTCTCAGCACGTTTGTTGGAAAAACATTGAACCTGGCTCTAATGAAGGCATATCGGTGAGATGCGGCTATAAGCGATGTTAAGTAGGACGGAGCACGATAGATAGGGGTTATGCCGAGATTTAACGGGGAGCAGGCTCCACCACCAGCTAAGAAATTTTGGTATAGCTCCACATCATCCAGCCTTTGATTTATACACCTTTTTGCCGCGTTTAGATCCAGTTTGAGCAATTCCGTGGGCGAGATCTCATAGGACAGCAATTTGGCATGGATTTTTCCTGACCACAAATTTGTGAAGTCATCCCGCCACATGCATTGAATGAGATAATGGTTCGGTAGTTTATGCCATAGGGATATCCAATAAATCAAAACTCTCCTCCATAAAACTAACTCCACTGAGGGGATCTTCATTTCTAAGCGAATAGCCGCATTACTTACGCATGTTGGTAGTTTTAGAAGTCGGCGTAAGAATTGGCTTTGAAGCGACTCTAAAGGTGAGAGGTTTGCAAAAGCAGCCCATAAAGGTGCAGCATAGGCCATTGTGGCCATCACTTTAATGCTATACACTTTCAAGGCCGCAGGGATGAATAAGGCCCCTCAGAGTAGAAAAACGGAGGAGGGAGTGTGATAGGGCTTTTGTCTTGTTTTGAAGATATTCAACGTGCGCTTTCCACCCTAGATTATATTGAAAATAAATTCCTAAATATTTAAATTTGTGTACTTGTTCGATTTTCGTGCCCTCCAATTTCCATGAATATAATTTTCGACTCCTTGAAAATATCAGTACTTTGGACTTGGTGTGGTTGATAGACAGATGATTAGAACGGCAATATGATGCAAAAATCTTTAGTGCCCTCCTTAAACCCACTCTGGAGTAAGAGAGTAGTACCGCATCATCTGCGTAGAGAAGTAAAGGACAACGATAATCTGCTATACGGGGGGTGTGGATAAATTTTTGTGAGTCGATTAATGGGTTCCTCATATCACTGATAAATAAGTTAAAAAGAAGAGGCGCTAAAATACAACCCTGGCGTACACCCTTATTTACTGGCACTGGGTTAGTTAGGTCTCCAGCAGGGGATATTCTTACCCTGGCCACGGATCCGGCATGAAGTTGGGAGATAAGCCACAGGAGCCTTCTATCTATTCCCCAGCAGGCAAGTTTATCCCATAGTAATTGCCTCGGAATACTATCAAACGCAGCTTTCAAATCTATGAAGGCTGCGCAAAGTTGGCCCCGTCGAGGTGTCGAGTATTTCCGGGCTAAGTGATAAAGAATAATTGCCTGATCTGTTGTGGATCGATTTAATCTAAATCCGGCTTGCTCATGCCCAATCAGGTCAGCCTCAGCTGACCACTTCATCAGCCTTGCCAGCAAAAACGGGCATATATTTTCCCAATGGACGATAGCAGACTGATATTCCGGTAATTCCCTGGGTCACCGGGAGGGCCTTTTTTGTAGATAGGAATTATAATGGCCTCCTTCCACGTACCTGGTATTAAGCCCGTGGCATTTATTGCGTCAAACGTTTTAGCTAAAATCCCTGCCCACCATGCAGAATGTAGCTTTATAGCCTCAACAGGGACCAAATCTGGCCCAGGGGCCTTACCAGTTTTCAGCTCAGCTATCAATTCTAGGATTTCAGCAGGGTCGGTATTGTGCCAGACGGGAAGGGGATTAGAAGGTCTCCAGTGAGTGGCCGGAGCTTCTGCCACTGAGAAATATTTTCTCAGGAACTGCTCCCATGTAGGGGCCGGGATCACCGTTAAGGGGTATTTCGTGTTTCTTCCCTTAATTAAGGACCAAAATTTCCGGGAGTTATGAGATTTTGAGGCAGAAATTATAGTCTGCCAGCGATTTAAATGCCATTCCCGTTTGGCCGATTTCTGGGCCTGTTTGTATGCTTTTTTAGCCAGGGAATAAGATGGAGGTAAGGCCAGAGCGCCGGAAAGTTTATAGTCATTATATATTGTATGTAGATGGAGTCTGGCTAGTTTACAAGCAGAGTTGAACCAAGGGGCGCCAAATTTAAAATAATCGTTTTTAACTCCATAGCTTGGAGAAGTAAAAAGCGAGTTAAAACTTCTATCAGGCAAGAGAAAAATTCATACAGGTAATAGGATCACGCGGGACTATTCCTACGTCCGGCTGATCACCAAGAAACTTTTCTCGGATAAAATCCGTATATCTATGGGCGAGGGCAGGGGACCATCTAATCCCCTTTATTTTAGTGGACGGCTCCGCAATCACCGGGATTGGGTGGGAGCGCTCGAGCAGGTGCCAGTCAACACATAACTTGGTTGTCAGGGGAAGATGGTCACTAAATTGGGCATTATCAATTTTAAAAGAGGTGACATTCAAAAATAGATCCCGGGAAACCAATACATAGTCAAGAACACTGTTTGATTTTAACCCCAGATGGGTGAACTCTCCTGGTATATCTGGAGGACACCTGCCATTTAATATAATTAAATTAAGGCGTAAAGCCATCTGGTAAAGCATCACTCCCGCCTTATTGACTTTTACATCCTTTGATATTCTAGTGGGGATATATACTAGATCGTAGGTTTGAGCGCCGGGGTCGACCCACCATTTAGACTTTATAAGAGCCTCCCGATTTGAGGCTATCCGAGCGTTAAAATCGCCTCCGGTAATGGAGGGGACATTAGGATATTTAAGATAACAAGAAAGTAAAAATCCTCTAGGGATTCCCATCTAGAAATAAGATCAGCTGCTAACCCTCCCGGGGGGAAATAGACATTTGTAACCAATAAAGAGAAGTTTCCACCAGAGATCAGTCCGGTAATAGCATAAGGCGGAAATGCGTGCACTAGTGAAAGTTTAGCCCGAAGTTTAAGGGAGATACCAATTGTAAGGCCACCTTTAGGGCGGCCACCATTCGTTGACGGGCTAGCAGGCAGACATATAAACTCAAAGCCATTTAACTCAATTTCCTCCTCCACCCAAGTTTCTTGTAATAGTATGATAAAAAAGGAATTAATATATTTTTGGAATTCTGGATCTGATTTTTTACTTTTCCATCCAGCAATGTTCCAACTTAATATTGAAGGCTGGGGTTTCCTCGTTCCTCCAATTGACTGTCATTCGGAAGGTTGGCTCAACTTTAATACGGGAAGAGGGGAGCCAATAAAAAAATCAGTTATCTTCCTCTGATGAAAAACCTCTCGTAAAAGCTGAGTGGGAGGATTTACAAGGTTGTCTGTCTGTTGAACTTGGCCACTCGATCTACTAGGAGTAGGACCTTGAGCAGGGGCGGCCCCCTTTTCCAAAAGAGTTTGGTGGGCCACCCGGTGTGGTCCATCTATCTCGTCAGAAGTTTGGGCTCTCTGTGGTCTGCTACTGGTCTTTTGGGCTACTTGATTTATGTGGCCTGTTGGATCTTCAATCAGTTCCGTCACAGGTCTTGCTGTTGAATCCATAGTACTCCGCAAAGAGGAATAAGGCTGGGCGAGTGGGCTATTTGGGAAGATTAGCAAAGGCACCTCTTCTCTTGATTGGTCAGTGCTATAAGAAGGTTCCAGGTCTGGCATCGATGAATGTGTAGAAGGGGATTTTTCCTGTTGTGTGCTGCTTTCTTCAGGTATGTTTATCAAGGGACGGTCATGTAAATCTATTAAGAGCACGGAGGGTTGTTCTGGTTGGAGGGAAGGACTGGTAGTTGCTTCTTGGGGTTGTATCTTATCCTCCATTACCGACATACATTTAGCATTAGATATTGCGATATCCATATGAACTGGTTCTTCTAGGATGTCATGCTCGCTGTACATAGGTATTCTGGTGCTGAGCTTCCTGATAAGTTGGGTTTTAAGCGATTCGAGTCTATTAATAATTTCTTTTTGTTCCACCGCTGGTAAATCTGCAAAGGAGGCAATGAGTTCGATCTCTTCTGGTGGTGTCAGGCCACTTTCCGGATGGTCATTGTTCTTTGCTAGGGAGTGGAGGCCACATGACTCATCTCCTGGAGGAGAACACCCACTCCGGTGGCCACTGGTGGATCGGGTTTAGCAGATTTTAAGCCCTCTTTGGTTATTGCCTCCAACAGTAGGGGTTTAGGCGTAGGGTCTATAAAGGCTCTCGTTGGTGCTATACCACAGCGAAACAAAAAGCTTTCCTTCGTAATATGATAGTGGGAATTTTTGTGGATTGGAACGCAAGCAGGACTCTCTGTGATGTATGATGATAGACAAGGGGAGGACTGCACAGAGGTCAATCTGTGTTGCCTCCATATTTAAAAGCACCATTAGGAGTTCCTTGGCACCGCCCAGAGTTCTCCATCTTGGGTCCCCATTTTGTATAGTTAGGCACACTTTCCTTGGTGTTAAAATCAAGGATTGATGACCTAATTGAAGGTTAAGGTTGTATTTAAATTTGTCAGTACGTTTGTTATTTAAGGACAGACTCCTCGTCCCCTTCCTCTCTTCGAGAGACTTAACACCGGCTAACGCTGGAGAGGTAGTAACTAGCTTTTGTTGGAGGCTGTGCAGCTGGGACGAAAGATCATCTAGTCTTTTGAATATACAGTGCAAAGTTTTGATTATTAAATGGGACTGTTCAAATGTCATATAATTGGCTGTGCCAAGGACCAGTTCCTCCTTCTGAGGAGAGGCTACACTCTTACTGTTGCCCACATTGCTTGTTAATTGAGGTATTATTCGCTCTTCGTCTTTAAGTGCTGACACGCAATCAATCAGAGGGTTAAATCGGTTCTGAGTTTCTACCGTGTAGGAACAATCCAGTAGATTACTCCCTTCCTTAAAGTGACATGGTTCCACCCTTGTTTGCTTTGATCTCGGAAAGGGAATGGGGACTGTCTCCTCCGAATCTCTAAGACGTTTCCCATATCCCATAATTCAGATATCGAGTAGAGGGGGGATAGTATTTTAACGTCAACTAAATATTTCCTTCAAGCCTGCCAGCACTTGCAGTGGGGGTATATTTCACTGCCTGTTCATATGTAAGTCGGCGTCTTCACCTTCACCCTCACAGTCCGGCAATTTAGTTCGACAAGGAGACTACCGATAAGCAACACAGACCATTCCTTTGAAGTCCTACTCCCACCAGGACTAAGACTAATATAAAATTCTCCTTCGGAGCTTATCACAGGGCCCACCGTGGGTCGGTCTCAGATAAAAGGGAAACTCCCGAAGGCCTCACCAGATCCCAGAGAGAGAGGAGACTCCAAGAAGGCAGCGTAAGGATCCACCCCGATGCTTCAGTTTCAGCCGCTCCTTGTTTCTCGGCGTTTTCCTCCCCCTCCTCCTTTTTCTAGACTTTTAACTTGAGCTTTTAACTCAAGCCTTGAATATATTAGTTAAAAAACAGCTGCCAAATGTTGTAGATAAAATACTAAGGCTGATAAAAGCCGAATAAAAACTGATAAAACCAATAAAAACTAATAAAAACCGCACAACTGCTGCGGAGCTCAAGTCAGTGCCTCCACCAACAACGCCATCTTGGGTG